CAAGTATATGTTTTGAATAAGCTATGATATGTGTATTGTTTTGACAAGGACCTTGAGAATCATTCATTTAAAACCTTTATTACCTGTACCATTCACTGAGTGTCCAAGCTCACCCTCTCTATGTATATATGTAGGTGTTTAGCATGAAGGCGGTGATGCCGAGATGTGCGTTTTGCAAGATATTTTGGATGCATGTTATGTCGGCAATATTTATGTCGGCAATCTTGAAGATTATGCCTCTCGACCTCGTATTTCTTGTATTTTGTTTATATCGGCTTGAGCAGCCTTTCAATCAAGATGTAATACGTATTTTATTTTGCTTATATTCAAGTTGTAAAGCTATGTAAAAATGTATGTCATTTCATTCGACTTATATACAGCTTTTATGGACTAATTAGAATTGCATATATTGCTCCCGCACATGATAGCCCCATATGTAATACACTGATTGTGTGTGAATTTTGAAAGTTGGCCATCGGTAATCTCGAATTACTGACCATCACGACATCATTTTACTAGGGGCGGAATGGGGTCGTGACACTACACCTTAACGATCAATTTGGAAATTAAATAAAAAAGGAAATTGAATAAAAATAGAAGTTGAATAAAAATATAAATGGAAACTGCATAAAATTAAAAATGGAAGTTCATTCACGAAACCACTATACCTTAACGATTGGAAGTTGCATAAAAGTAAAAATGGAAGTTCATTCAAGAAACCAGTATACATTAACGATCTATTTGGTAATTAAATGAAAAAAGGAAATTGAATAGAAAAGGAAACTGAATAAAAATGGAAGTGGAATAAAAATAAAAATGGAAGTTGCATAAAATTAAAAAAGGAAGTTCATTCAATAAACCACTACACCTTAACGATCTATTTGGAATTAAATAAAAAAGGTAGTTGAAAAAAAATAAAAATGGAAGTTGCATAAATTTAAAAATGGAAGTTTATTCAAGAAACCACTATACATTAACGATCTATTTGGAAATTAAATAAAAATAAAAATGGAAGTTGCATAAAATTAAAAATGTAAGTTCAGTCAACAAACCACTACACCTTAACGATCTATTTGGAAATTAAATAAAAAAGGAAATTGAATAAAATTGGAAGCTGAATAAAAAAGAAAAATGGAAGTTGCATAAAATTAAAAATGAAAGCTCATTCAAGAAACCGCTATACCTTAACGATCTGTTTGGAAATTAAATAAAAAAAGGTAATTGAATCGAGATGGAAATTGAATAAAAATAGAGAGGGAAACTTCATAAAATTAAACATGGAAATTCATCAAGAAACCACTATACCTTAACGATAATTTGGAAATTAAATCGCACGCTCCCAGAACTTTTACAGACGTGGTGCCCGCTCGAGCATCAAACTCCCCGCTTGAGCGTCAGACACAAACTCCCACTCGAGCGTCCAATCCCCTGCTCGAGCGTATACCACTGCAGACGAAATACTGGATGGGTGATTTCCCCGCTCAAGCACCAACACCCCTGCTCGAGCGGACAAGCAACAACAGAATCCCGCTCGAGCTTCAAAAGCGCCGCTCGAGCGGAGAGACCAAAAACTGGGCAAAGACTTTACGTTTTAAAACGCAACCAACTTATTCCCAACCACTAAACCTTAATGATCTATTTGGAAATTAAATAAAAAAGGAAATTGAATGGAGATAGAAATTGAATAAAAATAGAAGTTGACTAAAAATAGAAATGGAAACTGCATAAAATTGAACATGGAAGTTCATTCAAGAAACCACTATACCTTAACGATATATTTGGAAATTAATTAAAAAAGGAAATTGAATAGAAATGGAAGTTGAATAAAAGTGGAAGTGGAATAAAAATAAAAGTGGAAGTTGCATAAAATTAAAAATGGAAGTTCATTGAAGAAACGACTACACCTTGACGATCTGTTTGTAAATTAATTAAAAAAGGAAATTGAATGGAGACAGAAATTGAATAAAAATGGAAGTGGAAGAAAAATAAAAATGGAAGTTCATGCAAGAAACCACTACACCTTAACGATCGAAAGAAACCACTATACCTTAACGATATATTTGGAAATTAATTAAAAAAGGAAATTGAATAGAAATGGAAGTTGAATAAAAGTGGAAGTGGAATAAAAATAAAAGTGGAAGTTGCATAAAATTAAAAATGGAAGGTCATTCAACAAACCACTACACCTTAATGATCTATTTGGAATTAAATAAAAAAGGAAATTCAATAGAAAAAGAAATTGAATAAAAGTGGTAGTTGAAAAAAAATAAAAATGGAAGTTGCAAAAAATTAAAAATGGAAGTTTATTGAAAAAACCACTATACATTGACGATCTATTTGGAAATTAAATAAAAAAAGAAATTGAATAGAAAGGAAATTGAATAAAAATGGAAGTTGCATACAATTAAAAATGGTAGTTCATTCAACAAACCACTACACCTTAACGATCTATTTGGAAATTAAATAAAAAAGGAAATTCAATAGAAAAGAAATTGAATGAAAATGGAAGTTGAATAAAAATAAAAATGGAAGTTGCATAAAATTAAAAATGAAAGTTCATTCAAGAAACCACTATATCTTAACGATCTATTTGGAAATTAAATAAAAAAAAGAAATTGAATGGAGATGAAAATTGAATAAAAATAGAAGGGGAAACCGCATAAAACTAAACGTAGAAATTCATTCAAGAAACCACTATATCTTGACGCTCTATTTGGAAATTAAATTAAAAAGGAAATTGAATGGAGATGGAAATTTAATAAAAATAGAAGTTGAATAATAATAGAAATGGAAACTGCATAAAATTAAACGTGGAAGTTCATACACGAAACCACTATACCTTAACGATCTATTTGGAAACTAAATAAAAAAGGAAATTGAATAGAAAAGAAAATTGAATAAAAATGGAAGTTGAATAAAAAAACAAATGGAAGTTGCATTAAATTAAAGATGGAAGTTCATTCAAGAAACCACTAAACCTTAACGATCTATTTGGAAATTAAATAAAAATGGAAATTGAAGAAAAATAGAAGTTGAATAAAAATAGAAATGGAAACTACATAAAATTAAATATGGAAGTTCATTCAAGAAACCACTATGCCTTAACGATATATTTGGAAGTTAATTAAAAAAGGAAATTGAATAGAAATGGAAGTTGAATAAAAATGGAAGTGGAATAAAAATAAAAATGGAAGTTGCATGGAGAAGGAAATTGAATAAAAATGGAAGTGGAAAAAAAATAAAAATGAAAGTTGCATAAAATTAAAAATGGAAGTTCATTCAAGAAACCACTACACCTTAACGATCTATCTGGAAATTAAATAAAAAAGGAAATTTAATAGAAAAAGGAACTGAATAAAAATGGAAGTGGAATAAAAATAAAAATGGAGGTGGAATAAAATTAAACATGGAAGTTTTTTCAAGAAACCACTATACCTTAACGATCTATTAGAAACTAAATAAAAAAAGGAAATTGAATGGACATAGAAATTGAATAAAAATAGAAGTTGAATAAAAATAGAAGTGGAAACTGCAAAAAATTAAATATGGAAGTTCATTCAAGAAACCGGTATACCTTAACCATCTATTTGCAAATTAAAGCAAAAAAGGAAATTGAATGGAGATGGAAATTGAATAAAAATAGAAGTTGAATAAACATAAAATTAAAAATGGAAGTTCATTCAAAAACATCGGCAAACAAACAAGATGAACAACCGCAGAATCCTTAGGAGAGTTATGCAGTATGCTCATGAGAACTTTGAGTAAAGTGGCATGTATATGGACTTAATGGACCTTAAAACTTTGTAATCTTTATATATATAGTTGGATATATAAACTGTTATAATGTCAACCAACCCAAAATTACGGTGCTACTCCATAGATGGATTTGATAGTAGAAGACTATACATGATATGTTATTTGCTCACAAGTATATAGAAGACATTCTTCAGCAACTTTCAACCAACAAGCATACCTTGAGGATTAATACAACTTGATCAAGAATGCAATAAATTCCAACACAACCAATGCACAATATAGTTTGTAATAGATAGGCGTAGAGGAAGCACGGGTACTCCAAAATGGATGCTGTGTCGGTGTCCAATACGTAGGAAGCACGGGGTGCTCCAAAATAGATGTTGTGTACATGTCCGACAAGTATCGGAACACTAACATGCCGCACTCACGTGTGTCCGCGTGTCAGACACGCCTATTTTTTTGTTTTTTCCGGTAGGACACTTTGGGGACACTTCACTGACACGCGTCCTGTGTTCCGGTGAATTTTTTTTTCATAAATATTTTATGATACCAATGTAAATCAAAGTAAAAAAAATACAACGGATAAAATATTTAGATCATACCTTTAGATGATAGAACCTCATGGGTAAAAAACACAATATACTTTTTACTAATTTTAATACAATTTTATTAAAATCAATATATTTTTTTAATATTTTTATTTATTTTAAAATATTTTTTACATACTTTTCAATATTAAATAATACATAAAGAGCACTTATTAGTATTTGCCATACATAAAATGATAAATATATACAATACATAAAGATAATAATTCCTTTCACTTTGTGGTTTTGAACTCAGAAGTTATTGGTTGGTTCTGAGGTACCACCAAGTGATGCTTAAACGGTATTATAATTGGTAGAAGAGGTGAAACCCGCGATTTTATATTAGATGATTGGAGAACATAAGAAGATATGATAATTTATGATTGATGAGAAGTATTGTCACGTGACCCCTGAACCAACTAATGTTTTTTCTTTGAACCCTCTATAGAACTTTCATATAAATGAATTCTTTCCTTCATTTCTTAAAAAGGTCAGACTACCGATAGTTCAAAAGAATTTTTGTTACAAATGTTATTAAAAAATAATAATAATAAAAATAATAAAATAAAAATTTCAATTTTAATTTATAATTTATAATTTAAATTTTTTATTTAATATATAATTTTAAATTAACAACACTAAAAAAATAATTTATAAATGTTCAAAAGACCATTTTATCCTTTTCTAGTTGTTTATTAAGTAATAGCATGGAGGGTAAAATAGACATTTCACAAAATAATTCCCATGGGATACCAATCCCATGGTTTCTATCCCACCTCCCCCATGGGATAGGATAGTCCCATGTTTGTGGGACTAATAGACTATTAGTCTGGAACAAATTTTTCAAACAAACAATGGACTGTTAGTTTGGAACAAAATTTTTCAAACAAACAATGGACTATTAGTCCGGTGGGACTAATAGTCCAATCACACACCCTTATTCTTCAAAACAAACATGCTTATGTACTTATTCATGGGTAAACTGCACAAAATTTTGGATTATGATCCTCTCCATTGCATTATCTAAGAGCTTGTTATGATTCTCTCTAAATTTAAAATATCGATAAATTTTCATGATTATTTCACAACACTTGGATGATTGATATAATGGAGATCTTCCATTACAATGTAATAATGGAGAGAATCTCAGTCCCAAAATTTTTTCTTAAATCTTTTAATAGAGCCCATAATTTGAGTGTCTTATCGAGTTCATTACTTCAATGGTCAGTTCAGCTACCACTTTCATTCACTACTAGGTTTGGGAGAGAGAAGAGATGGAGTTGGAACACTTTAGCCATGGACATCCATTGATTCTCGAGGAAGAGCACAACAATAACGGTGTAGAAGTCGCTTGCTATGTTTGTCAGCAACCTATTTCAGGTCCAACCTATAGTTGCAGGCAATGTCAGCATTTCTCTTTGCACAAAGTGTGTGCAGAACTACCAACAAAGATGGAACACCCCATGCACCCAGAACACCACCTTATCTTACTCCCAGATTTGCCTTATTCTCAATCGGCTTACGAATGCAGTGCTTGCCAACAACCTTACGAGAGCTTCACTTACAGCTGTTTTGATTGCAATTTCCAGCTCGACATATTGTGTGCCTTGTTGGTGCAGAAGATTGAGCACATATGTCACAAACACCCTTTGACTCCTCTACAGAGGCCAACTTTGTTATTGTGTGATGCTTGTGGCACCAAACACGAAGGCACATTCTATCAATGTACCACTTGCCGATTCTGGGTCAACCAAAATTGTGCTTTGTTACCAAGTACCATAAAATATAGTGAGCATGATCACCTTCTATTCCTCATCTATTTTTTTCCATATGAACATTTCAGATTTACTTCCTATTGCGCAATCTGCACTGAAAAAGTGGACAGAATATATTGGGCATATTATTGTGCCCAATGCAGATATTTCGCCCATATAAATTGTTTGACATCAAAGATAAAGCTTTCCAGGTTTGATCTCCTCTTCCTCCTTTTATTATAGTGTTACTTTTGTTTTTGTTGTTGTCATGTTATAATTGTTTGATTTACATTCTATTCTTAATGTTGTGATCTTAGAGAGTTGGAAGAAGAATCATGCAAAACTAAACAAATCGACCAAAAAACAAAGTTTGTACTAGAAAAACTTGAGCCCAATTTGATTGGTTTGGCACTGGTTGATGAAGATGATGATGATGATGATGTCGATGACAATGATGGTAGAGTTGAAAAACTTGAGCCCGATTTGATGAGCTTGCCACTGCTTGATGAATCAATTAATCTTATTACACATTTCAAGAAGAAGATCAATTTGGAGGGGAAGAGTAATAAACCAATGAAGATTGACCATGTTAGTCATTATCATACATTATTATTTGTTGACAATCATATCAATGATGAATCATGCACCGCGAGCAAACTACTTGTATGTGCTGGATGCACACAGCCAATCACCGCCCCATTTTACCATTGCGCTGAATGCAACTTCACTATGCATGAGTGTTGTGTCGAGTTGCCCATTGAGCTGCAACACCCAATTCACCCAAACCACCCGCTAATACTGAACAGATGGCAATCCATATATTCTGATCTACCCCTATGCCAAGGTTGCAAAATGTCTTGCAATGGGGTTTTGTTTGGTTGTGTAGCCTGTGATTTCTTCCTCGACATGAAGTGTGCTTCCTTACTAGGCACTATCCTGCATGATACTCATAAGCACTTCCTTACCCTAAGAGAAACAACTGGAGGGTTGTGTTTTGCATGTCATAAAATTTTTTATGGGGTCGGGTTAGTATGTGACATTTGCAATTTCAAGCTACACACTCGATGTGCCTTGTTGCCACGTACGGTTAGCCACAGATTTGACAAACACCCTTTCTCCCTACTCTATTTCGGCGATCAGGATGAGTATTACTGTGAAATTTGTGAGGAAAAAGTAAACCCATTTTGTTGGTTCTATCACTGTGATGACTGCAACCGGTCGCTTCATAAGGAATGCATTCATCTAGTTAGTTTCTTCCCGTAACGCTTTATCACACATGAATCTCATCAACACACCCTTGCTCTAAAGGAAACATGCAATGTTCCTTGTGAAACATGTAAGCATGATTGTTATGGGGTTGGGTTTATATGTGATACTTGCAACTTCACATTACACACTCGATGTGCATCCTTGCCGCAGGCAGTTAAACACAGATATAATGAACACCCTTTCATTCTAACCTATTTTGGCAATCATGGTGAGAATTACTGTGAAATTTGTTGGGGGAAAATTAACCCGAAGTGCTGGTTCTATCATTGTGTTGACTACAACCTATTTCTTTATACAATATGTATTCAAATTGATGAATATAGGGGTGAGCTCAACATTGCAAGCCACCCACACAACCTCACTTGTGTTCATCAACCTAAGGATATCTCTACGTGCGATCGTTACGGTGAACTTGTCCAATTCAGGAGCATTGAATGTACACCTTGTAATTTCAAGCTCTATTCAGATTGTGCTCGGAATGAAGCAATGGAGAGGATTTTATCACTGCAACTAGCTGGTGAACTAGACCCTGTGGATAGTGGCCACACATCTTGATGTTGTGTTTGGTGTTAACTTCATGACTAGCAAATTAATTTGCTCAAAAAATCCCATCATAATTGTAATTTTAGTATTTTTTTAGATAAATTACAACACCGATCCCTCTAGTTTGAGTGAAGTGTCACTTTAGTTTTCGTAATTTTAGTTTGCATAATTTAGTCCCTACACTTTTTAATTTTGTTGTAATTTGGTCTCTTTGTCATGCATGGTTAATATTTTGAATGGAAAAAGGAAAAAAAAAAAATCACGTGCAAAATTAAATGGACCAAAGTGGAACTCAAAACAAATTACAAAAAGTATCGGTGTAATGAATATATATAATACACTGGTGATCCCTGTAATTTGTTTTAAAATTCGTTTTGGTCCTTCTAATTGTACACATGGTTTTTTTTTTTTCTTCTTCTTAAGTGCAAATTACAGCTATAGTCCCTGTAATTTACATTTTTTCATTTTGGTCCATGTTGTTTCAATTTGCTCAATTTTGCTCCTTAATTTTATGGATCGTGTCATGTTAATCCAATAAACAATGGTAGTTAAGTTTGATGGACGAAAAATCAAATAATATTTCAATTTGGTCCCTGTAATTTACAGAATGTGTCAATTTGGTCCTTGTTGTTTTGACTTTCCTATAAACTATAGGGACCAAATTGACACTTCCCATAAACTACAGGGATCAAATTGAAACATTATTTGATTTTTCGTTTATCAAACTTAACTACCGTTATTTATTGGACTAATATGACACAATCCGTAAAATTAAGGGGCAAAATTGATCAAATTGAAACAATGGAGACCAAAATGAAAAAATAGATAAACTACAAGGACCATTTACATAATTTACCCTTTTCATAATTTCAAATTTTAATGGTAAATGATGAAGGAACCACATTGCAACAAAATTGAAATTTTAAGGATTGTATTGTTCAAATTGAAACCATGGGGATTAAAGCCACATCCAAGTAATAAAATTGTTCAAATTGTAAGGTCCACAGAGAGAGAGGGCACTCTCTTTAAGTGATTCCTGACGAAGCTCCGACGAAGCTCTGGCGACTTTCTAGCGATCTTTTTTCTACTTCTAAAATGGAGATCTACACTCCTAGAGTATACTACCATTTTAGAGTGTAGATCTGGACTTTTTATGTCTGAAATGGGAGTTTTGAGAGTTTTCTCCTCCAATTTGGGCATAGATTTTTGGTTTTTTGACACCCACAATGGTTCCCTCCTCTCTAAACCCTTCTCTTATACCATTGTGGGTGTTCTTCCTTCTTCGGCGACAATGGTGACAGTGCTAGGTAGTTGCAACGGGGATGTTGTCGACAGGGATGGCGGGCTTTCAAGCAGATCTTGCTTTGTAGACCACATCTTTAAGCAAATCGGTAGTTTTCCTTGGATCATAGCTATTTTTTTGGCAGATTTGTTTTTGTTGTTTTTTTTTTCTTTTGTTGTTTGGTTGGAATGACCCTTTGGGGTCTTATTTATGTACTCTTGTTGTTTTTTTAATATATTGTTTCCCATGTTCTAAAAAAACAAAAAAAAAGTAATTGTTCAAATTGTAATTTATCCTTTTTTGTTTTTTTTGGGTTTAATTTTAAGTTGAATCCACAAGTCCTTTTGAAAGATGTATATTCTATTTAATCCCTCAATCTTTTGGATAGATTCAAAAGTCATGCATGTTTTTTGTTTCCTCTTTCTCTGCGTTATCTTTCTTCTCTTTCTTTTTCTCTTTCTCTTTCTAATATTTGGTGACCGTGCCTTCCTTCTTCTCTTTCTCTTTTTGATATATAGTCATTGGTGACCACCTTCGATTGGGATTCATCAGCAACCACCAACCACTGACTTCTTGTTTTGCTCTCACTGACGACAAAGGAGATAAGTTTCCGATGAAGAGGATGAGTAAATAGATTTACATCAGATTCGATTAGATCTAAACAAAAAATAGTTGCCATGGTACAATCTTCTCTCTCTATATCTGTTTATTTCCTTCGATCTCTTAGTTTTTCTACTTTTTCTTTACTACACACTTCTCTTTTCCTATTTTAATGGAGAAAATTTTCAAGTTTTGAACAAGTTATTTTCGAGTTTTAGTTATAGGTGGTGAAAATTGTAAAATTTTCCAGTTTTGCTGTAAAATTTTGCAATTTCATAACATGCTTTAGAACTATAAAATTTTACAGTTTCATAATGTATTTTTTAGTTTAATTAATAAGGATAAATGCTTAATAGAAGCATACTTTGAAACTCTAACAATTTTACAGTTTCAAAACTTACTTTTTAGTTTGATCAATATTGGAGATTACATACTTAAACCCTATAAAAATTGAAAAAAAACATGTTTTTTTTTTTTTTTCCCCTCCTCATTGTTGCTGTTTGCTGTTGTCATGTTCTTTTTTCTTTCAATTTATCAATATTTAACACATTTTACTATATTTTTTTCGTTCTAATTTCTTCATTTATTTATTTTTTTGGGGGTAATATTCTATACATTTTTAGTGAGTCTCTGATGATATTCTTAACGTCCAGAGAACATTCTACACATTCCGGCGACTTCCAGTGATGTTCAAAACACTCTAACGATACTTTGGCTAAATTTCAGCGATTCTCCGGTGACTGCTTAGTGATATTGAACATTCGGGTGAGCCACCAATAACCGTCTAACAAAATTCTAGCGATGGTGGGATATAGCAGCATCTTTAAATTTTTTTTTAAATAATAATTTTAGTAACAATTAAAAATATGTTAGACTAATTGATTTAAGTGTTTTGTTTTGGGGATAGACTCCCCTCCATACTTTCATCTCTCTATACTCCTCTTGTAGGCTCTAATTCGGATTTGTAGTAATGATCCGAACTGTTTATCTTGTGAGTTTCGTAATAAAAATTATTCATGCCAAAAATGAATTTCATCAAAAAATTATAAACACATGAATGAAAAATATATTATTTTATAAAATGGATGATTTATGTTTACAATTACATTTGTTTTTCACTTTATCAAACAAAATGTAATTTTTTTCTTAAGTTATAATTTTTTGATGAAACTTATTTTTTGTATAGATAACTTTCATTACGAAACTTACGAAATAGACGATTTGAATTATTGATGCATATTTGAATTTTCATATATGGGACCTACATAGAAGTGCCCCAAGTTTTTTTAGTTGGCCCATTAACGATCCAAGTAATAAAGCAACGTCCGAGTTTGATTTGGGTGGATTGCTTCACTTGGGCCTTTGTCTCGGTAAATTTACTATTAGAAAATTTTGTTTTTAACTTTTTATCTAGTAATTTCTATTTTTATGCCATTTGTTTTAGGAAAAATTACCCATGAGATGTAAGTTGAGAAAATTATTACACATAAATAAAAAGTTTATAATTTTAATTATTAATATTCTAAAATTTATCATTAATTTGTAATTATTTTTTAACTTTTAAATTGATTTGAAATTTCCTTTTGTTTTATCATCTTTTAGGTTTGATTTAAACAAATAATTAAAAATTAAATTTTAAATTAAATAATAAAAAAATTCTTTAAAATGTATAGAAAAAATAAGTTAGAATTAATTAAATTTTAACAATTTCATTAATTAAGAACTAATTCACGGTTGCTCCGTGAAAGCCAAATTTACGGACTGCCAATGAATGAAAGGCACATCAACTAGTTTTAGTTACGGAAAATAACTTGGACCCCCATAAGGGGCCACCCCATGACCCCCCTCTCTCTGATTGGCCAGTTCCTTCTCCAATCACCAGCCCCCACGTGTGTTCGATGGTGGTGGAAATGGTGATTGGAGGGGGTCTCAGTCACTTCCTTTTAGTTACATCTTGAATACTTCACTGCTACATGAGATTCTACATACACCATACAACATGCGATTGCATGTCTCTTCCTTTCCCACGCCTCTACCTTCCCTTTTACCGAAAAGGGAAGTAGTTGTCTAATTCTCAGGTCATATGAATAATAAACCAAAAAATGCTGATATGCCGTAATTCTCAGGTCAAATTATAATTTAATTATATTTATTATATTATAATCCCTAAAATTTGAGTTTAATACAAGTCATCCCTAACATTTTAAAAATTACACTAATCTCCCCTGTCAGTATTTGTTTAGTCACAGGAGTAATGGCAAATATAAAAGGACTTTAAGACCCTTTACTAAAAATGTAAAGTTATTAGTTTACCCCTATCATTTTCTTCTACCTTTCTCTTCTGCCCATTTTTATTGGCCCTCTCAAAATTAGGGCCGTAAATGAACAGATTCGTTCATAAACAAGCTCGAGCTTGGCTCAGTAAGAACTTGTTCGAACTCGGTTCATTATTTTGTTTTTTTTTTTGCATTCGAGTTCGAGCTCAAGTTCGTTAAATTTTTAATAAACAAGTCCAAACATTCTAAAGTTTGACTCGTTAGTTGGCTCGTTTAGTATTTATTATTTATATATTAAATAATTAAAAAATAAAATAAATATGTTATTTCTATATTTAAAAAATATAAATGTAAATAATAGTTAACTATAGATAGTACATTTATATAATAGTGATAGTAGATATTATTATTTTAATAAAATATTGACTTTTTAAAAAATATTTATATATATTGTATATATAATTATATAATCAAAGTTTTAATTATAATTTTAATCTCATATGCAAGTATGAATTTATAAATATTTTAACTCGTTAAAACTTGTGAATAGGCTCAAGCTTGAGTCAAGTATAAATCAACTCAGCTCGAGCTTGGTTCATTAAATTTTTATTGACTTCAAACTCGTTAAAATCTTAATATTAAATTTTTATTGAGTTCAAACGCGTTAAAATCTTAACATGACTTGACTCCACTCATTAAACAAGGCCATACATACGAAAATTTAACATGACTTGACTCCACTCATTTGTAACCCTACTCAAAATCAATCATCATCACCCACCATTATCCATCTCCATCTCCATCGTCATCATCACTCACTCCACTCACCACTGCTCACACTCTATCAGTTGCCC